GATACAGCCCTTGCCTTTGTGGACCCTGTAGTCCGGGACAGAGTGGGTGCTTAATAAATGGTAGCCTCTGTAATTATTATTCTTAGAGGCCTGAGGTTCTTACTCACCCATTCTTTGAACAAGCATTTGCCAAGCACCTGCTCTAGGCCCGGCTCCCTCCTTGGTTCTGGGAAGACAGTAGCGAACAGAGAGCAAGCCCTACCCTCAAGGAGCTGACATTCTAAAGGGGAAGACCACACATGAGCGTCTCGTCCATGCTCAGAGGCGGGCTGCCTTCTCGAGCACACAGGCTTTACCCTGAGAGCTCCTTGGCTGGTGGCGTGGCCAGGAACACAGGCCCCATCCACAGGACCCCGCCGGATCATCTTTAGTTCTGAGCTCTAGTCAGCTGACGTGCCCGCCACAGGCCTGGGCAGAGAGGCAGCAACAAACCTGAGCTTACACCTCACTCCCAAGACACCTCGGGGATCGGACCCGGGAAGCCTGGCTCACCCTGCCGCCCGGGCCTCCTGATGTCATCTGTCTGCCCTTGTCTGTGTCTCAGCCCCGGGACCCAGGATGTCTCCTCTGTCCAAGGGTAGGTTGTGGAACCCGGCCCTGTCAAAGGCTGACGAGGGCTGCAATATTTTCTTTCCCCAAATGTTAATATGCTGACGCTAAGGGGACTTGAAACCATGTATGTCATCGGAGGAAGGGTTAGAAGGGCCAGAGCGGCTTTGCCTGGAGAAGACCAGAAGGGGACATGAGAGCTGTCGGCAAGGATTTGGAGGCCTGTCATGTGGCAGAGGGAGCCGGCTGGTTCCCAGCAGCTCTGGAGGGCAAGCTGGGGAGTGAGGGGGGCCTGGGAGGGGGAGTTCTGGGGAGACAGATTCTGCTCAGCACGAGACACAGCAACCCTCCCTAATGATGCCTGTTGGTGGAGGGCCTGCCTCCTTCCTGTCACCCACAGGGCTGCCCAGAGGGTTTGCACATTGCGGGGGGCCAGACTCCATGATGGCAGAGGCCCCTTCCAGCCCCCAACAGAGTGGCTCCATGCTGTGGGAATGGGTTCACTCCGGCTGGCAGGCAAGAACCCATGCCAGCACCCCTTGATGGCAATGTCACTTGCTGGCTGAGGACACCATGTCACTTTCGGTCACAGCATCAATGCAATTTGCAGTGACATGCATTTGTTCCACCTCGGCTCCGAGGGCTCTCTGGGGGAAACTGGGGGCCTGGGCGGGGGAGGGGTCAGACTCGTTGCCTGTAAGATGACAGCATCTACCCTGTGCTGTCGAGGATCCTAGGCTCCCCGATCTAGGGGGGTCAGCTTTTCCTTAGCAACCCATCTCTTTCTTCAAATGGAACGTTCTACAAAAACCCAAGATGTGAACCAGGGAGATGGTGCTGCCTTGTTGAAGAGGGCTTGAGAGACCATGGCCTCATCAGCTCAGCATCTGCCTCCGTAGCCCCAGAGAAATTCCTGGGAACCCTAAGAGTTCCAAGGGGCACCCAAAGCAAAGAGAGTAGCCTTTGAACTGGGCTGCCTGGGTTTGAATCCTGGGTCCCCGACCTGCTACCAGAATGACCTCGGACAAGGTTCTTGACCCTCTTGTGTCTCAGTTTCCCCATCTGCAAAATGGGGACAACCGTAATGTTTACTAAAGTTGTTTGAAGGGCTGAGCTGTTACCCCGCGGGGAGCACCTAGGACACCTGTGTCGTCATCAGAGGAAGGGGCAGCTCTTTCACAGATGAAGGCGTTGACATCCGAGAGGTTGATCGCCTTGCTCACGGCCACATCTGGTTAGTGGCCAGAACGGCCTCAGACTCGTTTTCCTAGACTCCAAGCCCAGTGCTCCTTCTGCATGCCCCCAGAATGCTAATTGTTTAAGATGGGCCCTCCCTGGGTCTCTGGGGACTGTTCCAAGTGTGTGCCCCCTGGCTTCTGGGATTGATAGGCTTTGTCCTCAGGTGCCCTCTTCCCACAGCAGGGGTTGAGAAACAGTTTTGAGACAGCCCTTTTTTGGCAGAGAGAGGAGGTGGGCGCCTTTGAGAATCGCCCCATGGCCAAGATGTATGGAGGGGGGGCGGGTTGCATGAAGAGCGTGTTAGAGCAGAGGAACCCAGCTGGAACGGGCTTCCTACCACAGCACCACAGCTGCCACAGCAAGAGCTTGCTAACACCCCCTCTGATCCTGCTCAAAAACCTTCCATGGCTCCCATGGCCTGCGAAACACAGCAGGCCCCTCAGCCTGACAGACAAGCCCCTTCCCCATCAGGCCCCACTGACCTAGTCCAGTTCCTCATACAACGTGCTTGACTCCTCTTTATCCCTTCTCCCCTTGACTCTTGCTGCCTCCTATGCCTGGAATATCCTACCTCACCTCACAGCCATCCGCCAGACCACACCGAATACCCCTTCTCGCAGAAGCCTCCCCGGATAGCTCCCTAGTCCAGCGGTGACTTCCTCATTTGTGCTCCCAGAGCCCTCTGTTTACACCGGCGAGAAAACAAACACCATCAACCTTAATAATAATACCTATCTGTTGAGTGCCAACACTAACCCCACGGGTGGGCACCATTTGATCTTTACTTGAAGACACTGAGTGCTTAAGACCCTTGTCCAAGGCCACTCAGCTATTAAGAGGCAGAAGCTTCACTCACACTTGGGTCTTTTCTTGGGTGCTTTGGAGTCTGGAGCCCCAGGCTGTCTGTTCTGCCACTCACTGGTTCTGGGGCACCTGACATGCTAAGAAATAATTAGCTGAATTCTTTTTTTTTTTTTTAAGTTTATTTATTTTGAGAGGGGTGGGGAAGGGCAGAGAGAGAGAGAGAGAGAGAGAGAGAGGGAGAAACCCAAGCAGGCTCTGCACTGTCAGCACAGAGCCCGATTCAGGGCTGGAACTCATGATCTGTGAGATCATGACCTGAGCCAAAACCAAGAGTCTGATGCTCAACTGATTGAGCCACCCAGGCGCCCCGCCCCTCATGATAGATTCTTAATGGATAGTGGCTGAAGAACGCTCAGTCCAAGAATGGAATTTATTTTATTTAAAAGCGAGTTCAGGGGCACCTGGGTGGCTCAGTCAGTTGAGCGTCCGACTCCAGCTCAGGTCATGATCTCGCAGTTCGTGAGTTCGAGCCCCGCGTCGGGCTCTGTGCTGACAGCTCGGAGCCTGGAGCCTGCTTTGGGTCTCCCTGTCTCTGCCCCTTCCCAGACCCTTCCAGCAGGGCAGGGGAAGTTCCTGTGGAGCTGGGGAAAGCGCAGGCCCCTTTCCTGGGACTTTGGTGGCAAGACCTATGGTTACTATGGCTACCACTGTCCCCACTTGTCTGGCCCCCCTTCCCTCAGAAGCCTGGAGGTTAAAGATGGAGGCCTGCCATTTGGCCTGAGAACTTTGGCAGATGTGACCCCTCCAGTCCGGCAGAGCTGTGTTCCTCCACCCCGGGCTGGGAAGGGCAGGACCAGTTCCTTGGTGCCTGCTGGTTGTCCAGGTCAGAGCTCCTGGGTACTGTGTGCCCTGAGGTTGACAGTGAAGTGGGTGCAGGGACTTCCTGGGGGCCGAGCCTGTGGACCCCCCGGACAGGAGGAAGCTTAGTTGGCCTGGCAGGTGGACAGGTGGGGACCAGATCAAGGTGGCCTTTTCCCACAGCTGGGAGGCTCAGGAAGTTGAGAAGGGAGAGGCAGGGCCCAAGCAGGATTCTAGGGAGATCAAGTGCTAAACTGGCTGCCTAGAGCACTAGAGTGGTGGCAGGAGGGAGCCCTGAGGCCCCTGAGAGCCGGGGGAACCGCTGGGCCCTTCTCCACGAGGCCCCACAGCCAAGCAAGAGAGACTGGGAGCCCAGAAGTTAAAACCGCAGGAAGCAGGACCAGACAGATACCGTCAACTCTTAATTACCACCATCGCTGGCACCGAAAAGCCCACGCAGGCTCCTCTGTAAATAAACAGTGTCTACTTGTCTTTAGGACGCATCCTAGTGCACACATATTTACAGTGCACGTGTGATCTATGCTGCTCTCTTTCGACTCACTCCCCCACATGAGAATTTCTGGTGAAATTTTGCTTTCCTTGCATTTGGTTTGGGCTCATGTTTGCAACCACCTGGGAGAAGGCAGGGAGGAGGTTTAATCCACATTTCCACAGGAGAAAACTCAGTGGTTATGCGACTCATCCAAAGCCACAGCTAGCAAGTGGTGGGATTTGCACAGAAACCTGGGATCTTCCTCCCAGGGCAGGTGTATCACCATTGCCACTCCTGAAGTATGAGACCCCGGAGCTCTTGGAATGGAAGCTGCCGGGTGGCCCCTGTGAGCATTTAAGACAGGAGCCTGTCTCAGGTGGGACTGGAACCTACAGGGTAGGACCTGAGGCTGAGGCTTGGTCAATGTGTACAGAGGCCACTTGGGTGGGCTTCCAGCCCAAGGAAAGCTGAGCTAAAGGGAGTGAGGGCTGGTCTGAGAGTTCCAGAAATTCCCTCTTTGACTACACATGTCACTGTTGAGTTTGGGCCAGATACTTCTGAGGGTCTGTTAGTGCCCGTGGGGCAGGTGGCCTGAGAGAGACTGTAGGAACTAGTCATCGTCCTTTGGGCAAAGTCCGCTGGCATTGTGGCTCAGTGTTGGAGGGGATGGAAGGGTGCTGGGCAGGAAGGTTGTGCAGAGGCAGTGGCTTTTTTAGGGGGCTTGGAAGTGTCCACTGAGGCCTGGCTGGGCTGGGGGATACACTTGGCCTCTCCCTTTGAGATGTCAAGTTTGGGGGATGGTGTGGATCCTCTGGACTCAGCAGAGCCCATGCAGGGAGGGCCTGGGAGGAACTTCAACCTGCACAATTCCCCCATTTTACAGATGAGGAAACTGAGGCACAGAGAAAAGAAGGAACTTCCTAAGGTCAGCCAGCAAGATCTCGCTGGGAAAAGAACTTGAGACTCAGAACTCCCAGTGGGGGGCCAAATGGAAGGACCGGGTGATTGTTCTGGGGGGCCCTGAGCCAAGGGAGGGTGGCTGGCCCTGGCCAATGAGGGTCTGACCTGTGTGTGTCCTCCCCAGGGGCGCCCACCCGCGATGTCCTGCTGGTCTCTGCCATCATCACCGTCAGCCTTAGCGTCACTGTCGTCCTCTGCGGCCTCTGCCACTGGTGTCAGCGCAAACTGGTGAGGCTCCTGAGGGCCCGGGGGTTGGGGCCTGGCCCTGCACCCCACCCCCCACAACTACTGGCTCGTGAACCCGCCCAAGGGCGCGTGCAGATGATCCACTTGCCCACGTCGTCAGGCACGTTTCCGCAGAATTTCACACGCATGCACTCACTGCGTTTGCCTGGATGTTGGCCCCATCTGTCTGGGTGTACACCCAGAACCACACACCTAGGGACACGTTTGTGGACAGACGTGGGTCTCAGGCGTTCCACACGCTCGCAACTACACGCACACACGCCCCACCTGCAGCATAAAGAACCTTACGCTTCCGCGCAGACGGAGAATCTAGGCTCCCTCCAACCCCAGCGCCTCCCGCCCCACTCCCTGCCGCCCACTGCCCCACCTCCCCAGGGCTGGGCGCGGCCGAGCCCTGTCTCCTGGCCAATGAGGAGGCGCTTCCCGCCCCGCCCCACCCCCAGCTCCCGCACATCCATCCTGGTTCTTGGGGTTTGTACAAGCACAAACGGCTTCTTTTCATTTTTAACGAGGGCTGGGGAATTAACGAGCAGGATTAGGCCATCAATAAGTAACGAGACCATCAGGAGGGACATTCATCACCCGAAGGCCCCGGGAGGGGGAGCCGGGCTGAGCCGTCTACCCGCCTGCAGCCACCAGTTCCCCAGAAGTGGCTGCAAGGCTAGACCCCCCCTCACCACCACCCCGCTTCCCCTCCTCCTCCCCTACCCCAGTCCTGCTGTCCCAACCCAGAAGTGCAGTGGGGACTTCGGGGGGGGGGGGGGGGGGGGTGCGGTGGGGCACTCCTAAAGGTGGACCCAGAGGTGTCCCAGATGTGGGGACTTTCCTGGGCTTAGGTAAAGAAGGGTCCCTGGCAGGTACCTCCATTTCCTAGATTGTGCACGGTGGGAGTGGGGGCCAGGTGTCACTGCCTGGTCACAGAGGGGCCTTAAGGACGAGGCGAGGAGGGCTGTGGCCGTGGGCACTGTGTAGGTAGGGGCTTCAAGCCCCAATCCTATGGAAGGAAAGGGGGCAGATACCTCTGGGAAGGACCCAAGAGGCCCATAACCCAGCAGGTCTCCTTCAGGAAAGGCACACTCAGGAACTGGGAACACGACTCTCCATCCTGGGACATTCAGCTTCAGGTGGCTCCTTCCTCTGGGGAGGAGCCATGGAGAAGGCCCCCTTGTGCCCCAAGTATGAGCGTATGCGTAACCTGGGCCCACTCCGGGTGTGGGAGCACAGGTATGTGGAGACAGGCTGGCTGCCTGCATTGTCCCTGGATCTCCCGTGTCTGCATCTGGGGAGGTGGAGGAGGGGGCTTGGCCACGTGCCTACGTATGCGAGTGTCCTCAGAGGCCGTGGGAGTGGCTGAGCACGCACACACTGCAGCCCTGTGCGTCTTGTTGCGGGGCCTGTCGGCCTGTCGGGCTGTCCATCCGTCTGTATGTGTTTGAAGGCAGAGGAAAGTGTATGAGCAGGCCCTGCGGGTGACCTTGAGTGGGGGGCTTTGGGCTGAGTGGGTCGACTTTGAGGGTATTGGTGCAGTGTGTGTGTGTGTATGTGTGTGTTCACCTCTGCATGATGGGATGTGCTTCTCATCAGATCCCCACCGGAGTGAGCTGAAGCTTGCTTCGTCCCCACTGTCCCGGCCCCTTGTGGTAAGTGCTGCAGTGTGTGTGTGTGTGTGTGTGTGTGTGTGTGTGTGTGTGTGCGTGCGCGCGCGCTGTGGTGAGAGCCTCACCCCCACCCCACTCACCTGGGGACCAGCATCCGAAGATGACAGCTTTTTGTAGCAGGTGGGGGGCTGTCAGTGCGGGAAGCCCCTCAGGCATCTTAGAGCCCCAGCCCCTCCTCCCAGCCTCCAGCCAGGAACTTCTCCAGGGGTCCAAGCCACAGTCTGTCTGTCCCTTTTGACTTTCTCCCCCGAGCTGCCCAGCCCCCAACCCTGCCACAACCCCTCCCCCGGCCCCCCCACATCAGAGGGACCTGGGGGCTTCTGCCTGGACTGTCTCTGTGCTTTATGGAAGGGGCTTTAAAACGCTCCCTGCACAGTTACTGGGCTCTCCTTGCCTGCCTGTCCCCCCAGCAGCAGTGATGTGATAGCCTGACAGCCCAGATCCCATTTCCAAACATTAATAACTTCCTTAATCTCCAGCTGGCTTTTTCCAGATCAGCCTGGCCAACCCCCTCCCTGAGAAGCAGGCTGATGGTATTGGGTTCCTCTGGAGCCACCCAGTGTCTCCTGGACGCTGCCTGGGTTTCCTATCGTTGCCCCATTAACATCCCCCTGCCCCGCAAGTCAAGTCCTGCCCGCGTTCCTGTCCCCCATAGTCCCACGGCTCCTGCTGCAGAGTGATCGATCGTTGCAGCCAGAGGGGAAAGTTCTCTGAGCTGTGGGAGAAAGAGGGGCAGGCCCTGGATGAACTGGGGACAGCCCACCCCAGCCAGGCCTGGCCTGGGGGAGGGGCAGCTGACCGGCCTTAGAAGCAGGTGCTGACTGAGGCAGGTTCTCCAGCCAAGGCCAGGGAGAGACAGGAGAGGGAGTGAGGGGTGGGGTTGGAGGGTCCTCCCTGGGCCACACTGCCTGAAGCATGGGGGAATGCTGGGGATGGGGCTCTTCCCTGTGTCCTGCCCAGAGAAGGGCCCTTGGCCAGCATGGAACAACCGCAGGCCCTGATCTTCCCAGTCCAGACTGGGCATTGTTCGGGATTTGAACTTCTGGGTGATGATGGGACAGAGCAGAGCTGGAGCGGAGAGAGGGCAGCTTTTGTAGACTCAGGGGATCCAATACCTCTGCTCTTTTTAACTCTTAAAGTTTTGGCTCAGAGGCAACAGCTGGGGCTGAGTCCCCAGGGCAGGTGGAGCACTGCGGGGGTGGGGGTGGGGCGCTCCCATGTGATCATTTTTTGAGAACTGCTGGGTACCAGCTTCCATACCGAGTACTAGAGACCAAACGGTCCCTGCCATTTTGGGCTGTGTTCCCCCGGGGTGGGAGCTAAAGTAAAGCCAGGAGAGAAGTAGTAATTTCTGCGATGAGAACCTGGAAGGATGAGGGACCTGGGGCTCATCTGGAGACAGCACACCTTTTCAGAAAGGAGGAAAAGGAGGTCAGAGAGGGCAAGGAGCTTCAACCGGGGTGACGTGGGGAAGGTGTGGCATTGCTGGGACGGGGACCCAGTCGCCCCTGAGACCTGGGGGCGCTGGAGATGGAAGGAGGACCCACCCCCTTCCCCACACCATTCTGGGGGGTTCTGCTACCTCTGCCCAGCTCCCCAAATGGGCGGCTCTCATGCCCTGGCAGGGGCTGCGGCTGGCAGGAGTGTCGGGGAGCACCGTGGTGCGGCTTTCATTTTGCTTTAGGGCGGGCGGAGTCATCGAGTGTTGTGCACATGTGGGATGTTGGGGAAACGTGTGTGCACGTGTCAGTGTGTGTGTGTGTGTGTGTGTGTGTGTGTGTGTGTGTGTGTGCTGCCACCCCACTGCCCGCATCGGCCCTGGGCCCGCCCCAGGCCCATGGCCCATTGGTGCACGTGAGGACGCTTGGTGACAGTCAGGAATGTTAATGGTGCTGGGCACTGCATGAGCTAAATTTAGAAACCCAAACCGAGAAGGTGAATGGCACTCACCTTCCCGGCAGCAGGCCCAGTCCCCAGCTCAGCCATGGCCCTTCCTGGAGCCAGGGGACCCGGAGCGCCTGGACGGCAGGCCATGCCCTTCCCCCCCGGCTCAGGCAGGCGTGAGGAACTCTGGGGTGCTGGTCGGCAGCCCCAGCCTCAGAGCTGGGGGGCTGCCTTTCTTCCCAAAGCTGCCTTCCTATAAAGGAGAGCGCTCCAGCCCCACTCTGCCTTACTGCCTGAGGCAGGAGGACCCCAGGGAGCCCCCAGACAGTGCTGGGCACTGTCCTGGGCACGACTGGGCACGAGGCCCTCTCCCCGCCCCCGCCGTTCACGTCACTGGCCACTGCCAACCTTGCCCTGCAGGATGCCACCCCCACCATCTGGGAGCGGTGACGTGGCCAGGCGCCTGAGAGCCGTCTGTCCGTGGCAGAGGGAGATGTGTTTCTGGGAGCCGGGCCAGAGCCCCAGGAGACAGGCAGACAGGAGGGGCCCCATCCCTGGGGGTCAGGGATGGGGTGCCAGTCAAGGAGCGGAGTCGGTCCTAGAGCCTTATGGGGCCAAGGAGTTACCAACCGAGGAGCAGGTACCGTGGTGACGCCTTCACACCTTGGCCTCAGATCTTGTTGCCACGGCCGGGCCCAGCCCACTCCCCTACCCAGGCCCGTTCTGGGGAGGCAGGGAGGGTGCAGTCCTGTCTCCCAGGAGTGACCCTGGTGCTGTCTCCACAGGGCAAACGCTACAAGAACTCCTTGGAGACCGTGGGCACGCCAGACTCAGGGCGTGGGCGCAGTGAGAAGAAGGCCATCAAGTAGGTGCCAGGCTTCGAGTTTGGGGTGGGAGCACCCAGGCAGCCCAAGTGGGAGGAGCCTCCCCCCTCCCCAGAGCTGGCCACACGCATTCAGTTTCCCCCTCACGCGTTGGGGCCATTCTCTCTCCCTGCCCCCACCCCCCGCCGGCCCCCACACACTTCTAGCA